CATGCTCTCCAGAGTGCTGCCATCCGCCTTATGATTGCCTCCAGCCAAATCTGATAACAATCACTCTGAGGATCCTGAGACAGCTGTATTAGACTTGTGGGAGGAAATTTCAATGCTTGGTTCTTACACCTTCCCCTCCCCCCCATTAAATATTGTATTAAGAATTTTATACCCTTTCTACAGGTTTGGTTTAAGTAGACAAAACAAAGTGACCACATGGTGGCACTGTAAACTCAGAATTTGGAATGGCTAAGACCTAGGCAAAAGTAACAATGTAAAATAGCAATTAGAACCTAGAGTTCATCCTCCTATAATAGTAAGATACGAAAAGCTGTATGAGATAGTAAACTACCCTTGATTTTAGCCAGAAAAGTAGAAGATATTTTTAATGTTAATAAGGAATAAGCTTAGAAGATTCATTTTATTAATATCTAGCATTAGCCCTGTTTAGGAGATCTTAGGTATTGGTCACACTTTTTAAGTAACTGACCTTGTGAAGCATTTGAGCACGTTCAACTTTCACAGCAGTTCAACTGTGTGAACACCACAATTCAGCACCAAGCAGAATAGGACCTTTAATGAGTGAGGAGCTGTTAAGTCTGAATAGGTTGTTTGCCTTGATGTTGACACTAATTATATTTGATGTGTGAGAAAGTGTTTGGTCACACATTGTCAGAAGCTAATCTTCCTGTGGAGGTGATATCACATAGCAGAGGGTTCTTTAATCCAGCAGACAGAGCAGGGCAGCCCAGAGGGAGGGGCAAGTGGGGCAATTTGCCCCGGGCCCCGCAGGGGTCCCCACGAGAATATAGTATTCTATAGTATTGCAACTTTTTTTTAATGGAAGGGGCTCACAAAATTGCTTTGCCCCCAGGCCCCCTGAATCCTCTGGGGGGCCCTGAGACAGAGGCTTAAGATCCACTGGCTAGAAGCTTGTCACCACTATTGATCCATGGTGGTGGAATGGATTTGGCCCAGAACTGAAAAGCTCTATATCCAGTTACTAACGGTGAGAACCATCTACTTACCCTGTGCTGTATGCTCACTCAATATTGCAACATGCTGTGTGGAAGAGTATCTTTGCCATCCCTCCCCCATTCTTTTAGAACACACACATTCTTCTGCAAGAAGCCAAAACCAGAGAATTCAACCAACTTTAATGAATTGCAAACACAAACATACTGCGTGATAGTATGAGTTATTTTGTTTCTGGATCCTTTAGTTATATATACCAAGAGTGCCATCCAGTAGCAGAGACTCCACCATTTCTGCATCTCTGCTGTTCTCCATTTAATATGGCTCACTATACATATCCCATGGGTAAATGGGACCTGGCTGGTCCCAAGTTTCCAAAACAAGCTCCAGTTCCACTGAAGTAACAGGTCCTTTAAGAAGAGGCTGTAGTCCCATCAGGTTACTTGTTTCCATAAGTCCAAATGCTGTCCTTTGCTACAGCTCACTAGGCCCTCTAAGTAACTCTTCTCCAGAAAAGATCCATGCTGTAAGTGAAATTCCTCCTAGACACAAGGGCCCCTTTTAAATCTCCCTTATTGAACTTCAGCTGTGTGCTCTTCCCTACACGATTGAGATCTTGGACAAGAGTGGTAAGGCTTTTATCTCCCTTTGCATGGAGATGATTAATCCTTTTCTGACTGGAGAGTCAGACTACGTACACTTCGTCACACTCACAATATGTGGGTGTTTCATAAAGACATTAGTGGAAGTTCTCAGCTCTTCTTGAAAAGTGAATAAATCATAAAGGGGCTTTTTATTTGTTAAAAACAAACAAACCCTTCCAAGCAGGTTACTATATGCAGGAAAGTACCTCCTTGAAAGAGAATTTGTCCTTCCAAAGCTTCATCAATTGACATGAAAATGATCCTTTTTCTATTGACATTAATTTATTACTATTCACTTTTTCAGGATACAATCTAGTAAAAATTCATATCACAAATTCCAGACGGTGGCTCATGCATAATGTGTGAAAAGAAAGTAAAAAGCAAAACCTAATGAATTAGAAAAGAATTCCAGTTTGCCCATACTTACTTTGTGGATGTAGCCTGACAGTAATGTAATAATGTACCGAAACTGAGAATAATTTGAAAGATTTGCAAGGATTGGATGAGCAAGGATTTCCTTATTTCATTTCTTGATTTCAAATGCACCTGATAATTTGAAACATCTTCAATGCCATTTCCTGTACCATTTTCCTATCAAAGTATTGTTCTCAAAGACAGGGGTGCTCAAACTGGGCGGGGGACCCCCTCGGGGGTCATGAGGTTATTACATGGGGAGTTGCGAGCTGTCAGCCTCCTTCCCAAACCTTTCTTTGTCTCCAGCATTTATAATGGTGTTAAATATATAAAAAAGTGTTTTTATGTTATATAGGGGGTCACACTCAGAGGCTTGCTATGTGAAAGGGGTCACCAATACAAAAGTTTGAGAACCACGGTTCTAAGGGTTTTATAGAAACATAAGGAAACAGGAATTGCCATATTAGATCAGAAGAGTGGTCCATCTAGTCCAGAATCCTGTCTCTGACAGTGGCCAAAAGCAGATATTTCAAAGGAAGTGCAAGAAACCCCAGAGAGGGTGTCCCTGATCCATCAAAACACTAAGGCACATGCATGATCTCATGCACATGAGTACCCACATGCTTCAAGTTATGTATCTGTTTAAGTGCTTTGCTGGACCTAAATTTTATGGAATAGCCTGCTTATATTCTGCAATCAATTTCATCAAAATTTTCATTACAAACTTTGGGAGTGTTAGGTACAAAATAATGGCTGGATAATGTCCTACTACTATACCAACAAAAATGCTTAACACTTATAGACAGGGATTGAATTGGGTGGAAAATGCTATCTCCCAGATACCATCTACTTGCCGCATGAAAATGGGATGCCACATACAGTAGATTACTTAGAGCTGTGATCCTTCTTTTGCTTTCTTATGTGCTTTGATCAGCAGTGAGATGGTTAATGTAGACACATAAATTATTAGCATTGGCATTTGAGTTAACTCCATTTAGAAAAACCGCAGTTCAAACAACCCTCCCTCACCCCCAAACAACGACATTACTGATCTGGTATGATCCAGCCCAATTCAAACCCTATATATAATGTCTTATCTCTCTCTCTCTCTGTCTCTCTCAAATATTGCACAAGAATTGAGTTACTGATCAATCTGTACTAATTAATAAACTTTTTTTTGGTGGGAGGGGAGTGCATATTTTCTTAATGTCTTGACCATGAAACAGTATCATCTACTTGAAACAACCATTGATTAAAAATTATTATTTTAAGTATAGTTTACATATCTTGTAAATAACTTATGTACGATTTAACAGAACCATATAGTTAACAAATTAAAATGTAATGTAAAAAAAGACAATACACAACCCCACCCCCCAAAAAAGCAGAAGCAACTAGAAATGCTGGAGTTTCTTTTTCCAAATGTACGGCGTTTTCTAGGATCTCAATTTCAAGATTTTGTATTACAGATGTCAATTTAACATAATTAATGCTGACATAGCACCAGGTTTGTGTGGGATGAAATACATTTGAATACAAATGAGTGGCATATCTCGTACTAAGATGTGAGAGGTAGTTTAAGAGGATGCGTCTCCACTTCTGACCTCATTTCATGTTCTAAATTATACTTTCTCTTAAGTGGTACGTTGGAAGTTTATTCATGATCCCAGAGTCTTAGTGTAAAGAACAAAATCATAAACTTTTCCAGGGTCAAGTTGACCAAAATATGGTATATCTATTGTATTTTCTAAAAAAGAGGTGAACATGTCTCTACCAAAGTCTAAATTTATATATCCAAGTAAGTAGTTAGGTATGCACACCCCCTTTTTAAATGTACAAATACCCATTTGTATGAACAAATACTGTTTTTTTCTGGAGAAAACTCATGTGCATCTATATTGCGTAGGTACCCCTTTAGTGGCCTCTTTAAAGCCAAGTATTTAAAGCGTTTTGGTCCTTTG